CATCAGCCTGGAGGGGACAAAAGAAAAGGGACGAGGGCCTGGAGCGTAGCACAGCAAGCAGGGCGTTTGTCTTGCACGTGGCCGACCCAGGGTTTGATCCCCAGCATCCCGTATGGTCCCCTGAGCACCACCAGGAGTAATTCCTGAGTGCAGAGCCAGGAGGAACCCCTGTGCATCGCCGGGTGTGACCCAAAAAGCCAAAAAAAAAAGGGACAAGATAGAGAAGAGACGGTAAGACCGGAACACAGTGAGTCTGTCCTCGTGGAAGAGGGACCCAGGGAAAGCGCCAGTCCTATCTTGGCCTGCAGAGCCGGAGAACGGATGGGAGGCTGAGACACCGGGAGCTGAAGGAAGTGAGGAGGGCGTCATGGTTCCATGCCTTCTGGGCACCATACCCATTATGCTCAGGGCTGACTTGTGGCTCTGAGTCAGGGATCGTTCCTGCTGAGACTCGGGGGACCCTGTGGGGTGCCAGGGTCCGACTCGGGGTGGCTGTATATAGAGGCGAGTGAGCTGCTCATGCATCGTGCAGAGAAGGACGAGGAGGGGGTGTGGGCAGACCTGGGGCGCTGCCCAACTATCCTCACACCTGCCACAGCCCCAACCTTGAGCTGCCGTGAGTGTTGGCCGTCCATGGCACACAGCTGACCTCAAGTCCAGGCCATCTTGCTCAGCCACGCGGACGCCACCTGGCCTGGAGAACCACACACACACACACACACACACACACACACACACACACACATACCAGCCTCCCGCCTCCCCGCCGGCAGCCAGCAGCCGAGCCAGATGCCAAACTCTGGCACTGCAGCAACAGACATTCTGCCTCGCCGTTCTGCATGAGTAAAGGTCCGAGACGCAGCCGCAGCTGGTGGCTGTCCTGGGTGGCCTCTTGGCCCGGCCTGGAGAGGGGCATCTGTCTCCTTGCTGGGCCCCCAGCTGGCAGAAAGAGTGGCACCCCTCTTTCTCCTCGCACACTGTCCCCAACTCCACTCACACACCTTCAACGCCAAGGATCCCCAGCCCCGAATAACACTGCAGTGGAGAGAAGGCTCGGGGTTTCCACGTATGATCTGAGTGGCTGGGGGGGGGCGCAATTTAGCCCACAGTCCTGGCTGCTCTGCTCCCTCCCGTGGACACCCACCCTCCTGGCTGCAACATGCATCCACACCCACAGGGGGCACCAGCCAGCGTGACCATGAGCAGAGACACCCCCCCCCCCACACACACACACACATACTCCTCAGCCCGCCTGCCTGGCCCCAATTCTGTCCCCACTAAATCACCTCAACGGAAATCTCCATCTCGGCTCTATTTTTAAAGAATTCTCATCAAAGCCTTGAGAATTATTTGCTTATTGATCAACACTGCCAGGCTGGGCCCTGTGTGCTCTCGGCCCAGAGCACACAGGGCCCAGCCTGGCAAAGGGTCAACAGCAAAGCCCAGTGAGGCGACACTGGGCAAGCTGCTTGGCCTCGTGGTGCCTCAGTTTCCCCTCCTGTATGATGGTGAGTAGCCAGGCTGCCTCCACAGAGGGCACGGTGTCAAAGAATCCAGCATACAACAGAGTTAGAGTATAGAAAAATAAAGAAAATGTAGGTATACATATATATTTAAAACTATCATAATAAATGCAGCATAATTGTAAAAAAATTTAATTAAAAAGATGAAAACCAAAACCCCAGTGGTTTCTAACCCCAAATGCCACTGAGCACTCAGACGGCTGCCCACTTCCCTTCCTCGCCATTACCCATTGTCCCGGGTCCCCATGTCTCCCCCAAAGAAGGACAAGTTCAAGTCTTAGTACCAGGAGCCCGCTGGGAAATCAGGTGTTTGTGGATCTCCTCATAGCAGATTGGCAGGGCACGGGGGGCTCATCGGGTGACCAGATGCTTCTAAGAAGAGGGAGGTGGGAGACAGAGACTTGTGGGACAAGGCCGGCAGCAGCAGCACCCAGCACAGGAGGGGCCGGCCCAGGAGCACCCCCAGCTAAGGGGAATAGGGACCCTGGAGAAGTCGGCAGGAGAAACCGCAGACTCACCTGCAGGCTATGAGGGGAGCAAGGGGGTTTAAGTGACCCTGACCGTGGCCGCTTGTCTGCGAGCACAGCCCGAGGAGATGCAGGTCCCCCCCCCACCCTCTTGCTGTCTGACAACCACGAGGTGGGATCAAGAACACCAGAGGGATGGGATGGAGCGATAGCACAGCGGGGAGAGCGCTGGCCTTGCACACGGCCGACCCATGTTCGATCCCCGGCATCCCATAGGATCCCCTGAGCACTGCCAGGAGTGATTCCTGAGTTCAGAGCCAGGAGTAAGACCTGAGCATCACAGGGTGGAACCCCCTCAAAAAACTGCCAGAGGGAAAGGGATATACCTGATAATCTCTCAGTATCGATGTTGCAGTGCCCAGAAGGAGAGGAGAGGTGAGGAGAGAGGGGGAGAGAGAGAGAGAGAGAGGTGTCGCTTCCACAAAGGCAGTCTGGGGCAGGGGGCGTGGGGGGAAAGTGGTATAGGTGGGGAGGGGACTGGAGGGGAACTGGGGACATTGCTCACTGGTGCTGGGAAATGTACGCAGTGAAGGGACGGGTGTTGGAATGTATGACTGCGTGACTGAAACCCGACCATGAACAACTTTGTAACTGTATCGTACACTGATTCAATTTTTAAAAACTTGGAATACTAAAATCAATAGATTAGAAATTTTAAAAAAATGCCAGAGCCCCTCAGGCCAGTAGAGGGAAGACCACAACCTTGACCTTAGAGGGAAGACCTTGACCTTGACCTTGGAGGAAGGTTGTGCTGTGCCCCGCAGGGCAGAGACTGTCAGAAAAACACCCCTGAAAAGTAACCAAGAGAAACCACGAAAGAAAAAAGTAATATGGGAAGGTGTGTGTCTGCGTGTTGCATGCGTGTCTGTGTATGTGTTTGCGTGTGCTTGTGTATGTGTTTTATAAAAACCAGCTCCCGGAAGAGAACAGTGCAGTCTCCTGTCCCCGCACCTGGCTGTCCTCGCCAGGTCCCCTTGGAAGGGAGCGGGTTGAGCTTTCCTCCCCACCCCGACCAGGGCTCCGGCAGCCGAAGACCTCCAGGACCAGCCACCACCATGCTGAGACCACTCTCCGCACACATGAAGGTACCGGCAGAGGAACAAAGGCAAGCGGGACCCGGGGCTGAGATCTCCAAGCCTACTCGGATCGGGGCTGAGCATCCTCCACCCAGATCCTCTGAATTCCAGTAGGCGGGGGTCACACCCACCAACTGGCCCCCTGGCACCATCAATGGCCAAGACTCAGAGACTATAAAAACCAGCTCCCGGAAGAGAACAGTGCAGTCTCCTGCCCCCACGCCTGGCTGTCCTCGCCGGGGGCCCCTTGGAGGGGAGCGGATTGACATCTTATTATGACATCTTATTATCTAATTCCTACTTTGGACAAACTGGCAGGCTACCGAATGTAACCTGCCCACACAGCAGAGTCTGGCAAACACCCGATGGCGTACCCTATATGCCAAATACCAGTAACAATGATGGGTCTCATTCTCCTAAAGAGCCTCGAATATAGCACTTTCTTAAAAATCTCAGGGCTAGGATGAAGGAGACGTTACTGGGGCCTGCTCGAGGCAATCGACGTATAACAGGATGGTCATGATTCGTGATTCGTGTATGTGTATGCATGTGTTGGTTTGCATGCGTGTGTGTGCGTGCATGTTTCTAACTCGCTGAAAAGTGACAGAGGACTTTGCGCTCAGGCTAAACTGTGCACCCCCAGCCCGTTTCCTGGTGCACAGACATCCGCACTGAGCTAGCTCACTGGGCTTCTCTGGGGGAAAAGATCAAGCTCTGGAATTATTTAGCAGGTCTTGAGGCTGGCACAGTGGGTACTCTGGCTACTGATTTCTTCTTCTTACTAATGGTGTGAGCTCTTGGAGGCTCGACTTCTAGGAACCTCCAGTATCTTCATCCATAAAACAGGATACTACATTTTTGCAGAGGGTTTTTGTAAGGAATGAAGGAAAGGTCCAGCTGCAGACAGCCAAGGAGTTCCTAGGAAAGGTGTAGTTCCCGAAGACAGACACTAGAGGGCAGCAAGGCCTCATTTTCCCCCCCAGAAGCCACAGGAAGCTTCCAGGGAGCTTCAGGAAACCTCCACAACCAGGTCCTGGAGGTTTCTTCCAGAGAAGGGAGCCTCGCCACCTCTCCGGGCAGGGTCCGCTGCCCGCTCCTCTTCCATCAGCAGGTGCAGGTCAATGGCAGCAGTGTTCCTTAAGAGCTCCCCAGGAAGCACTGAACTTGGTGATCATTCCCGGCCATTTTCCCATGAGGACCCAGGACTGACCAAGTCCCTCCCAGCACAGGGCAGAGCAAACCGAGCTGTGCGCCATGGCTGGGCCTCAGTTTCCACTTGGGAAACCCCAGTTTCTAAGGTGCCGAGCGCTGGGGCTTGCTTGTGTGCATTCACTCCACCGTGCATGACTGCTGGCTGGCGCCCAGCCTGTGGGGGTGAGCTCCCTCTGAGGGGACGTGCAGTTCTCGGCCACCACAGCCCGGGCTGGGTTTCACTGCTGGCACCGGATCTGCAGAATTCTGTTGTGCCCGAGCCCATAGGGCAGGGCCTCTGGGCCAGGGCCCCGACCCAGGACACCTCTCCAGCCGGCTGGACCGTCCCTCTCTTTTAACCCCTGAAACATTTCAGCAATGCACAAAGCAGAGAGGAAACTCGGGCAGGCCCAGCGTGGGTGCCACGGGGCTGCAGAGCGAGCTCAGCTGGGGGAGGCCCCAGGCAGAGGGCGCCCGTCCCACTTCCCAGGGATCGACAGGGCATATGATTCTCCCTAGGAATGTTGGGGGGGAGTGCCGCACACCCCCACCCTCTGGATGAGGGGCGCCCCAGGCGCTGAGATCCCCGCCCCACACACACACACACACACACACACACACACACACACACACACACACACACACACCCTGCAGTGCCGCCCCCGGCCGGCAGCGCCACCTACCGACGACGATGAGAACTTCCCGCTCGATGTGCGCCTGGATGTAGATGCGGCCGCGGCGCTCCGTGTGGTCGGTGCCGCACAGGCTGGGCACGTTCATCACGCAGCGCTTGTGCACGTTCATCATGCAGGCTGCGGGCGGTCAGAGACACGGGGCGCGGCTCAGTGGGGCTGCGCCCCGCCCCCGGCTCCCCGGCCCCGACCCCCGCCCCCGGGTCTGGCGGGCAGAGAAGGGCTGCGGGCCATCCCCACCCCCGCCCCCCGCGCACGCCTAGGGCTCGGGAGCCTGGCCCCAAGGCCAAGGCCACACCGAGAGGCGCCCCCGGAAGAAGGTCCCAGGCAGTGAGAGAGGGCGGGGCTCCCTGGGAGGCGAGAGTGAGAAGGGGGCTTGGAGCAGATTCGGGGGCGGAGTCGGGGTGATGCCATGGGAGCCCCTCTCTCGGGCTTTCCCTGAATCGGACCTGGGCCTGGGCATTGGCCAGTGGGTGGCCCTGGACCCCGTGCCCGGAGGGACAACAGAGAAAGAGACACCCCCAGCCTCCTGGAGGTGAGTGCAATTCGGGGGGGGGGGGGGGAGGCCCGGAGCCTGGACCTGAGCTGGTGGGCTCCAGAGCATCACACCCACGGGTCTCTCACCTCCCAGAGGCTGAGCCCCCTGGGCCAGATGGCCCAGGGGGAGGTGAAGGGGGTCCTCGTGTTTTGGTCTAGGTGCCAGGAGTTTAGGAGCGGGGAGGTGGGGGGCAGGGAGGCTGGGGACGCCCCTTTTCAGCCCACCCAAGGCAGGCGCAGGAGCAGGCTGGATTGGAGGTGGCTGGGGGAGCACAGGGCCCTGGGCACTCAGCTCCCTCCCTCCCGGCCGTCCAGGAGGCAGGGGGCAGGGACAGATGACAGGCACCCACTCAAGGGCAGAGAGCAGGTGCCCGCCAGCAGGACCCACCATCACAGCCTCCTGCCCCGAGGCCTGGCCCCTGCCAGTTCCGGTATCCATCCTTCCATCCGTCCATCTGTCTGCCTCTCTGTCCTGAGCCGGGGTGCGGGCCTGTCCCCAGGGGCCCCCTCTGCTCCCATGTGTGTCTGGCTGCCCCAGGGCTCATCCCACCCTCTCTTCCTCCCTCCCTGTCCCTCCACGTGTCTCTCCAGCCTCACCTGAGCCTGTGTGAGGCCGCTGGTTACTTCTGTCCGTCTGTCCAGCTGCCCCCCTCCCCTCCAGGTCCCTCAAGAGCTGAGTCCTGGCAGCCTTCACCCCCACCGTGTCCTCACCCCGCGTCTGCCTATAAGTGCCACAGACACGCTTCTGTCTCTGCCTCTCTCGCCCACACTCTACGCGCCACCGGGCCCTGCCCCAGCCCTGGCCAGCAGGCCCCAGGAAGCCCCCCAGCCCCCCATTCTCAGCCTCAGCCCTCCCCGTGCTCCTGTTGCCACAGCCCCGAGGCTCCTTGACTTCCTGCGGGTGACCCCCGCCCCCACCTGGCGACACTCACCCTCATCCCCCTCCCACCCAAATCTGGGGCGCTGAGGGGCTTCTCTCTGCCAGGAAGGCACCAGCCCTGGGCATCAACGATGGAAACAGTTGTGTGGGGTCGCAGGAATGGCTCCGATAAGCCTCTGTGACTCCCCCGGTGTCCCCTCTGACACCTGACTCTGCCACCTGCTTGGCCAACAGAACTTACCCTTCAGATCACTGAGACCCTGACACCTCTGTGGGGCCAGCCCAGTGGGCCCGATCATGAGAGAACCAGGTCCTGTCACCACACCTCGGCAGCAACCATCCCTCCGCATAAGGAGACCACCCAGACCCCAACAGCATGCACACACACATCACACAGACACACACAGATACATATGGCACAGATACATACAGATCCACACAACACACACACAGATCCACATAACACACGTGGAGATACATGTAACACACATAGAGATATACCTAATACAGACACACAGAGAATACACACAACACAGACACGCACACAGATACATATATACACATAGTTACACACAGTTACACATATACACATAATACAGACACATAGAAACACATATAATACAGATACACAGAAATACATATAACAGACACACACAGATACACATAATACAAACATACACAGACACACATAACTCAAACACACACAAAAATACATATAATATAGATACACAGAAATACACATAACAGACACACACAACACACAGATACACAAAATACAAACACACACAGAGATATACATAACAGAAACACACACAGACACAGATACACATAATGCAGACACCTATAAACACACAGAGATACACGTAATGCAGACACACACGGAGAGATACACATAATAGAGACACATAACACACAGAGATACACATAACACAAACATATATGGATACTCATAAAACAGACACACATATATATACCCATAAACACAACCACACAGAGACGCATATAAACACAAAAGATACACATAACACAGACACACACATAGGCACACATAGACACAGACACATGGATACACATAGGCACACATAAACATAACCACACACATATATATGTATACACATATACACACAATCACACCATATGCAAAGACAAACAACATAGTCATGCACATAAAAATACACAGGCACACATAAACATACACACATATTCACATAAACAAAATTGCACACATACACACAGATATATGTACAAATATAGATACATACAACCACACCCTCTACATAAACACACAACACAGATACAGTCACACATGAACACAGAGACACACATCTATACACACGGACAACTGCACACACATAAATACTGAGACACACACACACACACACAGTTGCACACGTACACATTCACAGCGCCCTGCATGAACCCTCCCTCTGCGCCTGAGGAAGCCCAGCCCGGGCCAGGCACAGCCCCACAACCGTGACCAAAGCAGGTACTGCGTGACACGGACCCATCTGAAGGGATACTGCCAGGCCCTGGTACCCGCCGCAGGACAGGGGATGGGAGCTGCAGCAGGGGCCCCAGCCAGGGAGGGGCCACTTTCCCCGAGGGTCCCGCCCTTCCGGGTTGACACAGCTACTCACTGTCGCATTTCATGCCCTGGTGGATGAGTCCGTAGAGCAGCGACCCGCAGTGGTCACAGAAGGTGGGGCTGGAGTAGGTGTGGATCTTAAACTTGTGTTTGCTCCGGGGGTCCTAAGGCCAAGACACAAAGAGAAGAGAGTGGGTTAGCGCTAGGGCGGAGGGCTCGCCCACGGGAGTCTCAGGGCAAAGGAGGAGCAGAGAGGAGAGAGAGAGAGTGTGCTGGGGGCTGGGGGGTGTGAAGCTTGCTCTGACCCCCTCACCTTCGTGAAAACGCCCCTCTCTTCCCTGGCTCCCGGCCTCACTCATCTGCAGACAACAAACTTACACAACACACAGCTGTGGTGTGACGGGCCCCCCAAACACCGAGTGCTTCTCCCTCAGAAATTTATTTTCGCGTTTTAGAAAGAACCCTAGAATTTTGCGCGATGGCTCGCATTTTAGGGACCTGAAACTGGTGAGCCCAGGGCTGGTGGAGAGCTAGGGCACACGGGGTCCCTCTCATGAGGTTGGAACAAGTGGTAACCCGGGGGAGGGGGAATGTCCAGCCAATTTAGAAGTGCACCTGGTAGTGTTTTAAGGAATAACCCCCACCCACACACCTGACCATCTATAACCCAGGAACGACATTGAGCTGTGGACTGCATCACGGCTCCCTTGCTAGGCCCACCCACAAGGTTCAGACTGTGGCCACGTAGCTCGCCACGGGTGGCCTCGCCCAAGGCCAGGCTGTCCGGGTCCCTTCCCATCAGAGGTTCTGGGCTGTCTGGTTCTATTTGAGCCGTGTCCTAGAAGAGCCGAAACCATGGGAACAACAAACAGGTCAGCAGTTTGAGAGGACAGGGAGGGGGCAGACAACACAGGAGCCGCCACTTCTGCTGCAGGAAAATGCTCTCTCAATAAGCTGACCTAAAAGCCTCTGGGCATGGAAGGGTTTTTTTGGGGGGGTTGGTGTGTTTTTTTGGTGGGGGGGAGGCGGGGCTCGCTCACTTTCAACTGCAGAGAATTGAGGGCTTCCCAAAAAGGAAACAGCTGCTGGTGACTGGTATCAGCCTGCAGGGGGCGCTCCACGCTGCTCTCATCCTCCCCTACGGGGAGGCCAAAGTAGGAGGAGAGCTGATCTGATTGGTCGGACTTCATGCCAATCAATGGCCTGGACTGGCCTGGCCTCAGTGGGTGGAGCCAGGGATCTTCTGTCCCACCAAGCTAACCAGGACCCTAAGCGCTGGGGCACATTCTCTCTCCTCTTGGCCCCTGTTGGTCCTTCCTGGTTCCCTACAAGGTGGGTTTGTGATTAGGGTTTGACTCTCCTTACTTCCCGCCCTACTCCGCCCGCAATAGTTAAAATGAGTCAAGAATTCCACTCAGAAAGTCCTTCTCCAGCTCCTCATGCCCCTCCAGCCACAGGCCAGGCCAGGAAAGGCAGAGAGCTGCCCCTGTGACCACTGGACGCCTTGGGTGCACTTTCTTCCGTGCTCAGGACACACCGTTTGGAAGCTGTGCTCCGCTTCCATTTGAACTACAGTGCCGTAAGTGTGGGACCCAGGTAAACTCTCTCCCACCAGGCCTCACCGCTCAGCCCTGCAGAGCCACGACTGGGCCCCTGGGACCAGCCGGTTACAAAGATGGGGGCCATCTGCGGAATCGTCTCCCCTCCACGCCGCCGCTTCAACTCACTAAGTTCTTTCGAAGGAAAGAAATGTCGGTAGCAACCCCGAGATGGGCAAGGCCACTGGCCTCATTTTTCCAACTAAATGTGCTCCTTCGGTGGGGCTGGAATGATAGCACAGTGGGTAGGGCGTTTGCCTGGCTCACAGCCAACCTGGGTTCAATCCCTGGCATCCCATACGGTCCCCAGAGCACCGCCAGAAGTGATTCCTAAGTGCAGAGCCAGGAGTAGCCTCTGTGCATTGCCAGGTGTGACCCAAAAAGACAAAAACCAAATAAACCAAAAATACAAAAAAAAAATACAAATGTGCTTATTTGGGGGCAATAAAGTCTTTCCAAATTACAGTGTGTACATGTTTTAGACAGAACGCTCGTGCACACTGGGCAGACTACACAGAGAGTAAAACATGGTTCTTAGATGCCCCCAGAAATCAGAGATTCACGAGAGCTGCACAGCGTGACCTGCACTGTACAGCAGAGCTCAGGAGTGGTCCTCTGCAGTTCTGCAGCGCATCTGTGTCTGCCACACTTCCCTCCTCTCTCCCCAGCCCACGAGCCCCCAGGCCTCCCCCCAGCCCTTCTCCCCTGGCCACTCGCCCAGCATAGGTTTACGGGGAGCTGCCTTCTTCGGGCGGCACGCGCAGTAGACAGGAGCGGGCGGGCAGGAAGCAGGAAGGACACCAAGTCCCATCTTTCTGCCTCTTCAGAGTGTGAAGCCACTGGACTGAGGCCACAGGGGACCTGCTGCTGCCCCAGGCTAACCCGCAAGCCACGCTAGGGAACCACAATCATGCTGACATCCCCTGGGTAGAGGCGGCACGCTCAGTGCTCAGTGCTCCCGCCAACAGCCTCTCTCTGGGTCTGCAGTGTCCTGCCACCCCCCACCCACCCCATGCCTGACCCAGGGAGCTACATTTCCACATGAGAGGCTGGCAGGGGCTCTCCTCACTCTGTCACTAGGCCTTGACCTGAATAAGCACGGACGTCCAAGTTTCCTTCCACTTTGAAGGTGAAACTGAGCCAGGACAGGTCACGGGAACCAAAGGCCCATCTGCTCGAGTGGCCGTGACTTCACTGACTGGCTGGTTCTTGTGGGGACTCCCAAGGGGCAGCCACGAGTCCCTCGCCACTGCAGAGCAGCGGACGGGGCGTGCAGGGTCACGGAGAGAGGCAGCAGGAGAGCCAAGGCTGGAATTCAAGGTCACCGGGACACCGAGGGTCACCCACTGCCGCCACCTCTAGGAGGGTCTCCACCTGCCACAGGTGTTACAGAGGACTCCCTGTATGTTCCCCAGCCCCAGCAGTGGCAGGCGTCATGTTGTGGTGAGGAAACCCAAGCCTTCACTGTCTCCACACCCAACCTGGAACCAAGGACAGGCCGACCCCAGCTCAGGCACCACGGGAGGAAGGAAGCATCGACCGGAGACCCCAAACAGACAACAAATGAGGACCTCTGCTCTGCTAAGTCACAGCCACAACTCATCTCGAATGGGGGACATCTGGGGGGCTGCGGGCAGCAGGGGGGCTGCAGCGGCCGGGCTGGGGCAAAGCCGCAGGAGTAAGGAAACTGGATTGAAGCTCACGGGGCAGCAAGTCACAGGAGGAAACCAGAAACAGCCTCCAACCCAGGGCTGGGAGAGCCACAGGTCAACCGTGAAGGACTAGCCTGGCCTGATTCCATCCCCGGCACCACACACCAAGCCCGGCCAGAAAAGGCTCTGAGCACTGCAAGGTGTGCTGCTCAAAACACACACACACACAAACACATACCCCAGCCGCAGCCTCTGTTGGGGCAGAGAAGGGGCGCCTCGTTCGCTGTGTGGCCTCGGGCGAGCGGCAGCGCCTCTCTGGGCCTCTGGTTCCTTGCTCCTGGGCAGGAGCCCTAGGATCCCCTTGGGTGGCGGGTGGCTGTGCTGAGGAGGCTCCCAGCGCCGCGCCCTGCACACTCCAGGTGTCGGCGCTTCTGCTCCTCATTCCAGAGACTAGAGGCTGGTGGGTGACTCCGTCCACCCCAATGCCAGGCGGGCACAACTCTGCAGGTTTCCACGGGCCTAGAGCCTGGCGTGGGGGGGCTCACCTTGTGGTTTTCTTCTTTGATTTTGGTTTACAATCAGCTCCCTGCACTGAGGAAACTTCTAGCAGCGCTTAATGGATCAGGCAGTGTCTGGGGTGGAAGCCGGGGCCTCCCGCCTGCGAAACACAGGCATTCATCCAGCCCCGCCCAGTTTCACCGAGACTCTCAAGGAGTCTGGGATCCGCTGTGACCCCCAGGCACACGATGTTTGCTAATTTACCTTCCGATAAAACAGACAGTTCTTAAAATGGAATTTCAGAATGCCCACTGCAGCGGCTGAGGGAGAGTCCAGAGGCTCAGTGCCCGCCTACCAGGCAGTCAATCCGGACTCAGGCCCCAGCCTCACATCATCCCCTGAGCATCACCAGGGCGGTCCTGGTTGTCCCCAGCACCGGAGGGCGGGAGCAGTCCACACCCTCAGGCCCTTGCATAGAGCCATGTGGTGCTAGGGGTCGAACCTGGGGCCCCGGTACGCCAGGTGCACTGACTCACTCTCCAGCCCTTAGTGGGGAGGACAGATGGACGCTCTCATTTGGCTAGACGCGCAAACGTGTGTACCCCGACGGATACTCCACGTCTGCTTAAACATATGTATTTCCGGTCAAGTTTTGTTCATGAACTAAGCACAAGAAGAGGCAAATGGGGGCTGAAGCGACAGTCCAACAGTGACAAGAGGTGATGTCGGGGCTGGAGCACAGTGGGCAGGGCGTTTGCCTTGCATGCGGCCGACCCGGGTTCAATTCCCAGCACCCCATATGGTCCCCTGAGCACCGCCAGGAGTAACTCCTGAGTGCAGAGCCCAGAGTAACCCCTGTGCATTGCTAGGTGTGACCCAAAAAGCAAACAAACAAATGAAAAAGAGGTGATATAAAATGTCTTGACCCTCGTCAAGTCTTAGTCTGGGGTCAGATTTGGTCCTGGGTACCTGACCCCTTGAACAAGGGGACTAGGGAATGGGAGAGTGGGCAGAAGACCCCAGAACGGGCGTTGGCAGGAGGCTGGAGGAAGGTCTGTCCCGTGGCCCCGAAGGCAGGGATGTGGGGAGGGAATCCCCCATCTCCACAACTCACGTTTCATTGTTTTCACATTTCACATGTTCACATGCAGGAGGATCTCTAAGCATTCTAGTGGGGATGCCACAGAAATCTCTGAGCCCAGCCAGGCCCCCAGGCCTTCCCCCTCCCCCCCCCCCCCCACACACACGCTGGGTTACACCACGTCCCATCACGCCCCCGAGAGCACACGCAATGTCCCAAACTCCCTCCGGAGAAAGGAGCGGGGAAGGCTTGATCAGGGCCACGCAGCCTGGGAGCTGGCAGAGGGGCAGGAAACGCGCTCCATGTTCAGAGCTGTAATTACACACACGCCAGGC